TGTTATTTAACTATTTTTAACTTAATAAAATAAAATTAATTGACAAAATAACTCTTGAAAGTTGAGTTTTTCTATTTTTTATTGTAACTTGTTTTCTTTTATACTTTATATTTTCATATCAAAGTTTATGATTTTATACTTTATTTTTTAAAAACCAAAGTTTATAAGTATTTCAATTTTTTTCAAGAAAACAATTATGCTCCATTAATAAAATTTAACAATCATAAAACCTTGGATAATTTTTTTCATCTCTTTGTTTTTATTTTAATATTTACATGAAAAAAATACTTATTTAAATATCATATAATCAGATTAAGTGTTTAAAAATATCATAAAAATTTTATGATATTATTTCTTACACTTTTACACTTATTTACTTGATTTTTAAAGATATTGCATATTTATTTTGTAAATTATTAATAGTATTGTAATATACAAGCTCATGCATATTTATAAATATATTTGTACTAAATAAAAAAATTTGAAATAATATGCTGAAACAACTAATACTAATATATATTATATTTTTTTAAAAAAATCAAAACGTTATTCGATATGATATTAGCAACATTGCCTTAAACTTCTCGAACGAGTCAGAGTTGAATTTTAAGCTCGGATTATTGGATCATTGTGAAAAAGAAAAAATGTATGAAGGGTGAAAGAAACGAAAGGGACGAAAATTATCAAGAGAAGAGTAGAGGAAAAGAAATAAAGGTCAACCAGAGGACCTTGACTAACCACAGGTATAGGGATTGGAGAGTATTGAAGGTTAGAATCAATTACAATAAAAAGCTCATCCATTTTATGATAAACCCTTTCTCCCATTGCTCAAGCATTGTCCTTAATTTGTTTTGGTTTTGAGTAGACATCAAATTTAACTACTAGATGGCTTGAAGATAGTCCATTCCTGTAAGGATAAAGGGTATTCAATCATCCGAATAGAAAGCTTCATGACCAAGCTGACCTCCCTTTACTTTTATCCTCAAGTTATTAGACATGCTTAAACCAAAAGAGATAATGAAAGGGAAAAAAAATGTAACGAAGACTTTGAAGGTAAGAAGGTCGAACAAAAAAAGGCTAAAAGTATTAGAGGTCAATTAAATTTGGTCAACTTGAAAGCTAGAAGTCTGTGAAGTGAAGCTCTAAAGCCTTAAAGGGCCCCTTATATAGCCAATTTAAAAATCATATAGACACCATAAATTAAACCACATCATCATAACGTTATCAAAAATGACTCTTCGCATTCTCAGTCGTCACACATTTAACCTCCAAATATTATCTCTCATCAAGAAATACAAATTTGGATGAATCTGCACGAGTGACATTTTGGTCTTTCTACTGCAACATTCATTATATAGAACATAGCATCACATCGGTCGTACATGCATAACACATCAAACCTTTCAGTGTTATTACGAAAGAAAAAGTCACAAGTCTCACGTCAACCATCAAGATAACGAGACGATGAGCAAATTGCGAATAAAGTAAGTACAATGTCAGTTATACCAACTTACATCAATAACTACATTACGAACCCAATTAGTGCCTCCCATTGTCCACATCAGCACTTGCCAATTACCCCCTATGTTATATGAGGTCAGAATAATTATAAAAAAATAAAATATATAAAATAATAAATAAAAATAAAAACATCTCATACTTAATTAACAACTCAATCCTACCAAGGGCTGATCAAGTTGGTATACTTTATGAACATTAGTCTGGCATCTCAAATTGCTCGATGAAGTGATAGAATGTTAGGGGTATTTTTAAATCTAAAAGACATTATAGACCTTTTCCCCATTAATACTAGTCAGTTGATAATCAGGGTCGTTTCAATCATTTTGGTCGAGCTAATGTGTTGAGCCAACCGAATTTCATGGGTCCAATTGACCACCTTAGCAATCTGCTGGCTAAACCCCTTAAGTGCTAACTCATTACGTCTTAAATGGACAGTCAACTACCAACTCGGCTTGAGCTTACTAGGTCATCTCTACTTCTCAGGGCCGTCTTAGATAGTCTAGGCTGCTTGAAACTTTCATCTTACAAGTATAAATAGCACCACCCAAGTACCTTTCAATCATCTTATTTTTCTTACTGTCATCTCTTTCCCATTTATTTCCTAGATCGATCACTAACTCGAGTGTCGGAACATAAATACTGAGACCACTCCCAACCTTTGTTGTTAATCATTTTCTTTCTCTTTCTATTGTGATTTGAAAATTTTACCCCTCATAAATAACTTACCAACACATAACCTTCCTTGTATATTAGCTAAAACATGCCAATTGCTGTTACACAGCTGAGATTTATTGCCCACACTTTTGTGCAAGGCAATCCTACTCCACCTGCATAATTTGCTTCTCAGACCTATTAAGTTTGTTGATCCTGAACATGTTAATGTCATTAAAAAATCATAAACCAAACCCTCATGAATCAGTTCCACTACTATCCTTTAAGCTATCTCTAACATTCAAATGACGATTAAATGCTCAATTTAATCCTTTAACATTTAAAAGGTTGCTCAAATTAGGATTAATTTTTAACAATTAAATATCTTATTTTTGTAAAAATAATATTTTTAAACAAAATTTGGAAAATGTCATTCACACGTTATTAACACTAACAATTGGTAAAAGGTTTGTTGTGGACATTGCAAAGCTATGTGACTTTTATCATTAAATGTGGAAACACAAAATTAAAAGTAAAAAAAAAAGCAACCATCAATAGGATCAAATGAAGAATATTCCTAATTGTTAGTAGTGCTATCATATTTAAATTTCAAGAATGAAAACTGTCCCTCGCAAACTGAAAACAAGTCCTACGGTTGGATTTGATCCTAGCGTATCTCTCAACAACTAAGACACTCTGGTAAGCTTCATCTAGAGAACCTGGATAGAAAACTGTTCAACCCTCCTAATCTCCTGTTTTAGCAGGTAGTTTGGTTCCTGGTATGGAATTGATTTGTGAAAATAAAAAATATGAAGGATGAAATATAATACTTATTATGAAATTTAATTTAGTAGAATTAAATAAAGGAGAAATTAGTATTAATATGTTTAAAGAATACAAATGGAACAAGTTTAAAAGACTCTTCTCTTATAATTTATTATAAAAATTATTAATTAATAAAATTTTAATAATAACTTTATATGAAAATTAAATATTAATTAATTGATATTAAATTCAAATTATTAAACTATAACACTTTAATTAATTAATATTAATTTAATAATATGAAATATTAATTTATTAATACTGAATTTTAATTTAATAATTTTGTAATATCATTTAATTAATTTAATAATATTTTAATAATATTTATTTAATTCTAATATTATTTTAATAATAGATAATTAATTTATTATTAATTTTCTATTTTATTAATTTTAATATTATGTTAATATTATTTGATATTAAATAATATTATATATTAATTAATATTACTAAATATTCATTTTACTCTTAAATATTAATTTAATATGATGAAATATTAATTTAATAATATTGATTATTAAATTAATAATATTAAATATCAATTTAATAATAGTGAATATTAATTTAATAACATTTTAATAGTATTTAATTAATTTCATAATATGTTAATGTTATTTTCAAATTATTTAATTAATTTTCATATAAATTATAATATTATTTAATTAATCTAATATGAATATTCTTTTAATATTATTTAATAACATTAAATATGAATTTAATATTGTTAAATATTAACTTAGGATTATTAAACGCTAATTAAATAATATTAAATATTGTTTTAATATTATTTAGAATAATAGTATTACATATTTATTTAATAATTTGAATATTAGTATAATATTATTGAATATTAATTTAACAATATTAACTATTAATTTAAGAATATTAAATAATAATTTAATATTATTTAATTAATGTAACAACATTTTAATGTTATTTAATGGATTTTACGATTATGTTAAGATTATTTAATATTACTTAGTTAATTTCCTATTAATTTAATATAAATTTAATACTAAATTAATTGTAATATTATTTTACTTTTATTTTATTAATTTTATATTATTTAATTATTTTTAATATGAATTTATTATTATTTTAATATAATTTAATTAATTTTAACAAAAAATTATGTATTATTTAATTAATTTAATAATATTTTAAGTAATATTATTTGGTGAATTATTTAATAATATATAATTAAATTAATATTAATTAATTATCTAATTAAATATTATAATTAATATTATTTAATTAATGAAATAAAATAATATTAATTAATCATAATAATTAGAATTAATTAAACATATAAAGACAAAATTAAAATTAATTAAATGTATAAGAACAAAATTAATCGATAAATATTATTTTCAATTCCTTATAAACCAAAAATTGCAATTATTAGAAGAGAGTAAAGAATTGATATATTTTATATTTAAAGAATTGACATTTCTTGAAATAGCTATTTATTGTTAAAAAAAATCAACCAATCAACGAAATAGAAGGAACACAAACAAAATGAGGGAATGGAATTGCAATTGTCCAATCAAATGAATAATAAATCTCCCAAAAAGATGAAAGGTTTCTTAAGTAATTAGCACCTTAAGCATAAGTTCATCAATCCTGTCCATGTAGCTAGATCCAATACCGCTCCAAGTCTAAAAATTGGTCATATAACCGACATACATGCTGCCTAGCTAAACGCCTGATAGGCCTCTTGATGCCCAGGAAATTCCCATCAACCTAATTTTATTGCTATAAAGTAGAAAGGGGCACAAGTTATTTGAACTGTTAATTCTCATTGCAAATGAGCCACTCCTACAATTTAACTAAAACTAAGTGAACCAGAAATAAGTGGGTCCTACAGTTCATAATTCACCTTAATATTACAATTGCTAAAGAAAGTTTTCCTCCATCATTATGTTCCATATCAGTCTTGTTATAAGTACAAACTTAGCTGACAACACTACTATACCAGGATACTTCTCTTGTGACTTGCGACTTCCGACCTCCTTTGCATTTTCATATTTTCTCCCATTTAAATACTCAACTTTCGCTCAAACACAAACATCATTTTACAGAGTCTCAAATATCAAATATCAGTTTACATACAATGGTGTTACCTGTTTATTGGGGTATTAAACTTTTAATTTCAACGACTAACATTCAATCCCTATCAGCTTCAAATATAAAAAAAATCTACACACAGCTTCAATCATAAACCACAACATCCAAATTGAATTTACAAATACTTAAAGCGGAATGGGGTGAAGTGCATGAGACTTCCATATTGTGTATCAAGGGACTATTAACCCATGCGTTTACAGTTCTCTTTGCTACTTAAACAAACTTACCATTGTGCATGGGGTTAAGGGTGTTTAAAAATAAAATTAACCGATCAAACTAAATTTAATTTGCTTAATTGATCGATCATCAAAATAATTTCAATAGGTTATCATCAATCACTAAATTAACCCATGCTTTTGCAAGTTTTCCTTGCTACTCGAACCTGCAGTGTCACAATGAACGCTCTTTTGTCTCTTTAAGTATCCTTTCTCCTTAACGTTAGTCTATTTTACCATACAGTGCTTGGTAGGGACGAATCAGAGAAAGAAAACAGATGGCAGAACAAGCCAAGATAAATACCAGCTATCAGTTTCGGAAATAAACATAAAGAAGAGCACTTTCAAGGTTTTGTTCATTTTACTTTCGTTATTAGATTCAGTCAACATCCTCAGTAATTACAGAAGTTTGGGGTCTTGCAATTCTTCTTTAGGTTCATGGTGGGATCAAGGTAGGCCGGTAGGGGACATGTAGAGGTGAGGAAAAGAGAACATCCACCCTTTCAATTTGAAAGGAATCTTAATCTATAATTTGAATGCTTTTTGCTTTTGAACACTAATGGAGAAAGCTTATTTTAAGAATGAATAAAAGTACAGCAGGAGTCCTTAAAATTTTTTACCAAACAACAGATAATTCAGTATTTTTCATAAGAATAGATGACAGAGATAGTTGATATACATAAGGGCACAGTTTAGCACAAAATACCTATTGATTGTATCAGAGGGCATGCCATGGATTAGTTCCAGTAGAGAAGGCAAATGCCATGATCAATACCCAAGATAGCTTGGATCCCCCATGTACTCAGCAATCTGTTCAAGTTTCACATTCAGCAATTCCTGACTATCAGCATCTCTTACAACACCCGTTTCTCGATCTAAATCCTTCTCTATCAAACTTCCATAGACACCCTTATGTCTACCATACAAAATAACAACTGGACCACCACGCCGTGGCAATGCAGTCTCAAGCAGCTCCTGCTCAACCCCTTGAATCAACTCCTTACTCTCATCCATTGATATATCACACATATACGGTCCAACAACATCCATCACCTGCCCTTTCTTCAAATACAACCTTCCCCCTTCCAAATTTTTACTAATAATCCGAACCCTAATGTGACTTGTAAGCCAAGAAACGCCTCGATCACCATTAACTTTCGTTTCGATCCTTTTCTCACTCTTTCCAATCTGTTTGCTATGCCTTCTTTCATCCCGCTTGTGTTTCGAATCTTTGCCTTTCCTAATCTTCAACTCCTTCAATTTCCTCAAACACTTTTCTTCTTCCCTTGAACCCAAATCAGCAATCTCAAAAATCCGAACTTTAACTTCCTCTTCGCTGTTCTTCAACTTCAAAACAACCCAACCACCACCCAATTTCTCCACGATTGTACCTTTCGAACCCATTTCTCTCCCTTCAATCACTCTCACATCTGTCCCAACAAAAAACCCGTCTCCATCCTCCTTTACCCGTTTTTCTTTGTCAAGATTATCTTTGACATTCATGAAACCGTGAAATTTTTCTTTAGTTTCCTTGTAACTAAACCCTAGGCCTTCTTTGTCGGTTCTTCTCTCGTACTGCTTTACTTTAACATCTTCCTTTGCGTTTTTCCCAATTCCTCTCCCTTCGACCCACCCGTACCCAGCAAGCAAAGCCTTACCGAAACCCTCCACCGGAACATCCTCGAACTCCTCAAACCCTCGATCCTCGGGCAACCTCTTCAAATCCTCTTTTAAACTCTGGAGAAGGACCGTCTCGACCGAAGCTGCGGATTCGGGAAATCCCTGTTTGTCCTCCGCGTCATCCTTGGTGGAGTTGTTGCGTACATTGAGACCGTAAGAGATTTTGGAGTCGGGGTGGGGAAAATGAGATGAGGAATCGAGCTCGAATTGGAGATCACGAGACGCGTCGGATTGGAGAGGGAGGTCGAGATTCTTCATCTTCTTGTAGGGGCGCCATTCGTTTTGTTTGGGAGGGATTACGAATGAGGATTTGGAGTTGGGGTCGGATAGGGTTTTGGAGGCGTCGAATTCAGTGACGAATTCTTTGTGGTTTTGGTCTTCGTGGGCGGAAGCGTTCTGAGTGGGCGCTTTTTGGGTGGGTTTTGGTTTGGGAGGGAGAGAGAAGGATAGTTTCATGGCGAGAGAGATAGAGCGGCGTCGTATGGAAACTCAACTGAAAGCGGTAGCAAGTTTGTGTTGGATCTTGATGGAAGGGATGGGTCAAATTGGAACACCGTCGGAAAAGTCAGACTGAGCAGCGAAAGATGGATAAAAAAATATAATATAAAAAAAGGAAGAAAACCGCCCCAAATTACTATTCTCGACTTTGCGACTGGCTTTTTGATAGTTGAATAATGTTTTACGCCTCGCTTGGATTCAAATGAGTCAAGACGCGGTACGGTTGGGGTCAAAACCGTGTTCAGCACCCCGTTTGGGTGCTATAGCACAATGGTAGTGGACATATCAACTTTGATGTAAATCCGAAAAATATTTAACTTACTGAGATTAGAACCTAATTCAAATCGATTTTATCATTAACAAAAAAAAAAAACATTTCGAATCCCTCTAATTTAAAATTAAAAATAATTTAAATTCAACTTTTCACAAATCTAAATTAAGCCAAACTCGAATAAATTTGAATTTAAATCGATTAAAAAATTTAATTTAAAATAACATAAGATTATATTAAATAAAATTTTATTTAAAAAATATGAATTCAATAAAAATAATAAATATAATAACATATTTTGAGCATACATGTACATTTCACAATATATGAAATTGGTAGCTTAAGTATTAGGGTAAAATTGTAAAAATAATTTCCTCTTTTTCCAAATTCTCAACTTAGCATTTTTTGTCCTAACAGCTTTTTAGCCCATAATTTAAACTACTATATACAAATGATATGAAAAATATAAATTGTATAGAATTATTAATAGATGATATGATATAAAAGTTTTTTTTTGTACAAAAGAATATGTGATACGATAAAATGATAATTTTAATTACTTTTTTTACTTGAATTAAAATTTCCTACTTAAGTTAAATTTGGGTATTTTTATTTGAAGTAAGATTACATGAAATATTTAAATTTCATTCTTTATGAATAGTATTTATAAAATATTTTACATAAAGTTAAACTTCGATACTTTTTTAAAAATTCGAGCAAAATCGTGGACTACATAAAAAATACAAGATCTAAGAATTTGAAGCAATATTTAAAAAAATTAATTAATGTTAACCAAATGCAATTTTTGGTAAGTAAGATTCGGTTATGATTTTATTTTATATATGATTTAAGTTGTTAGATGATGAATATGACCTCAAAGTTAAAAATGATATATTATTTAAAATTTTATAAAAATTAAAAATATATAATTTTAAAATATAAAAATTATATTTTATATATATGAACACAAATTTTAACATAAAATATTTATTAAAATACAATAAAAATATATAAATTATTAATATTTTGTACCATAAGAATACGACTTATCAACTCAGCGGTAACCGATTATTATTCTTGCTTGACCACTCCAATATGTAATGTTCCCTTTTTTTTAATTTATTTTTATTCCATTCCTTATCTGTCCGTTACGTCTGTCGACACTTGTCCACCTGGACACCTAATTCTCTCTCTCAAGACAATATATCTCATTCATTTTATTGCCCCCTTCTCAGTTCTGAACCCTACCCTGCATCTTTGACGTGTCACAACTTCACTGAGCCATCAACATAAAAGTCAACCATCACGATTTTGACCACAAATAGACTAATCCAAATATGCCACGACACCACTCACTTCTTCCTTTGTCTCCTTCTGTACAACACTCCAACATCTGCTAGGTGTTTTAACTTTGGAAGAACCGACTTTTTGCATTCGCTATTCTTTGTTTTTTTTTTCTAAAACTTCAGATTTATATGGGAATTAGGGTTTGATTTTTGGTTTTTTTTTTATCGCCATAAAAAGAAAAAAAATCAATACCCAGCCATGGAAGGTGAGCTAACGGATTGGGAGGTGGTTCACAACTCGGACTCTGACTCAAATTCTATCATGGTTAACTCGCCCGAGTTGAGGAATCTTGAGGAGATCGAAGGTGACGCGGAAGGGCTGATAAGGCCTGATTACTTTTCTCTTGATAATCAGAGTATGTATGCAAAGGAAGGCGGTGTGAGTGAAGAAGGTTCTGTCGAGTCTGATAATCCAAGTTGGATTGATCCCAAGCCGGAGACTCGGTATGCGAGGAATAATTCGGGCGATTTTTGGTCTGATTCTGGTAGTGATCGGTCAGATGATCGTAAGTTAAGTGATTTCGATGTGAAAAAGGAGTTGGGTTTTGCTGAGAATGAGAAAGTCGCTGTTTGTTTTGAACGGATTGGAGAAGTGGAAGCTAGGAGTGACAAATCGGGTGCATTGAAGCCCGATGATACCAAATTTAGTGATTTGGGTATGAAAAAGGAATTAGGTTTTGGAGGGTTTGGAGAAATTCACCATCAAGATAAGGATTTGGGCAAACTCTGGTCTGATTCTAGTGGAGATGGTTTGATTTCAATGAAGTTTGACGATGTTGAGAAGGAGGGTGACATTGGTTTTAGTGATTGTGTGAAAAAGGGAGCTGAGTTGGAGAATTCAGGTGAGTTTGATGATAGGAATGTCTCCACCGTGGAGTTAAAAGGAGGAGAAGGTAATCTAATTGGGAATGAAGGTTCTACCATTGATGAAATGAAGCTACCTGTGAAATCAGTTTGTGAGGGAGACAGGAAGAGGGTAGTATGGTGGAAAGTTCCTTTTGAGCTCTTGAGATACTGTGTTTTCAAGGTTAGCCCTCTTTGGTCCTTCTCTGTTGCGGCGGCTGTGATGGGTTTTGTTATATTGGGGTACAAATTGTATAAGATGAAGCGGAAGAGCCGGAGCTTGCAGCTGAAGGTTACCATGGATGATAAGGTACGTTGCTGCACATGGTTTCACAGTTCAATTGAACTGCATTCTCTTTTATTAGAAGAATCTTTATGATTTTTTTTTAATTCTTATTACTTTATCTCTTTGAGATTCTTGATGACTAGTTGAGATCCTTTGTTTGATTGATGATACGATCTAAAATGGACGCAAGCAAGAATTCCACTCAAGCAACAACTTATAACTGAAACAGAGAAGGATTGAGAAGAATTAACTAATGTTCAAGAGAAGAAAGAGAGAGAGAGTAGAGAGAGAGAGAGAAATAACAGACGAAGGGAATCTTTAATATTTCATTTCTGATTATCCTCCCTTACTGTCGATACCCTTTTATAATATCTCTAAACTCAGCATGCGTAACTAATCAAACAATTAACACTAATTAACTAGCTTAACAGACATTTAGAATAAGCACCCTTTATTGGGCTGAAAACAACTGGATTTAAGTAACTACTGGGCCCATTCGCTATTACACTAATAGCCTGTAACAATTGATTAGTCAGAGTTCCTACTTTCTTGATTTTGGAGTGTAGAGTAATTTATTTTATTATTAGGTACTTTCCTGAGATCTTGGATTTTACCTGTGCTCCATTTGGTTCACAAAAAGCAACTTTCTGAAAGAGATTTTCTGTGGGAAATATTTTCCTTAGAAAGAATAGATTTCTCAATGTTGTGTGGTTTTTCCATTCATCTTTCTCTTTGGGTTCCCTCTCACTTACAACCCCAGCTTACCACTCTGCTATGAAGGAGTGTGGCTGGACTGCTTCATCTTTTCTTTTCCTCCTTCACTGTTTTATTCCCTCTCACTGACCCAAAACTTTTAACCAATACACTAAACATAATTAAGCTGAATGAAAAACCCATATATAAAATCGAGAAACAAAATCAAGAAGCTTCTCACCATTAAATTGCCCTTAGACTATTTAGCTGACAGTTGCATAGTAGCCAACACATTTATCAGTGTGAAAAGTACACAATTAAAATCTAAAGTATGTTGGATAATCAAGTATCGATAGCAGATCAAGAACATTTTGGTTAATTCAGCTGATTGGAAATTACAGATTGGTCTATATTTACAGAACTCATGTTCCCAGTTTCATTGCTGGATGATGATGCATCTATTTTCCTCCTTGGCTGCAATGAGAGATCTTGAGAGAGAGAGAGAGAGAGAGAGAGAGAGAGAGAGAGTGATAGAGAGTATAAAATTGGGTATGCATGGCAAGATTGACCTTAAAAGCAACTTCCCACGTAAAATTTGTTGGAGAGTTTGAGAGCGAGACAGGGACTGAGGAAGGGAAGGGTTAGTGATAGACAGAATAAAATTGGTTGTGCATGGTAAGATTGATCTCAAAACCAACTTACCATGTAAATTTGTAAGAGTTGCATTCCTTGGTTTAGTGTTTTTTTTTTTACTTGAAAAACCTTTCAGTTGACCTATATTATTTTGGCGTGCCAATTGTTGGACAACAGAAAATGACTTCCTAGACGTCACTTTCTGCTAATGAATGGACACTCTATCCCACTCGCTACCCTGATGCCCCTGTTATTTTGTGTTTTATTTTGAAAGGAATCATTATTCCTTGCAGAAACAATTAATTTATGAGAAATGAAATATATAGTTGATTCTTTGTTATTCTCTTCTCATTCCATTTGTTACTTGCACATCTAAGCCAAGTCAGATAGGACGAGTACACGTTTTGGTTCTAATGATCTCGACTTTTTTGTGTTTGTAATTTTAATGTTTGAGGCATAAGGTGATAAAAAAACTTCAGGGATTATGGCCCTTATTTAGTAATTCAACCAATTGACACATGAATCAATCTTTACCAGAAATAACAAGCAATGTTAATGATAGATCTTTAAATCAATTAGATATTGGGCAATCTGTGATGTAGTGGCTGATATTTAAGATACAGTTGTTGAAGAGGTTATGTGTGATCCCTAGTTTGGGTTGCTATTCAAGTTATTCCAGGATCGGTGTTTTGAGTAACTCAAGTTATGAAAGTATGAATCATATTTATCACCATTTGTTCAAGCATTTCTCAAGGTCCTTGTCCCTTTTTTTGGTACATATGTCTGCTTTTAATTAGAGAGAAGACTGGGTTGAAGTGACTCAATCTCAGTTTTAATTGCTTTGATTTTTCTATTTCCCACTTTTAAAACATGGAAAACCCATATATGAAGTGATACTTGAAAGGTCCATCTTTTCATTTTAGCTAAAATAATTTGAGTCCCAAACATCCGTATCCTACTTTTTGACAAGTCAAATGCCTTGACGCATACCATGCTTGACACCACACTTACATCTAACCAACATATATATGCATTACTGTATTGGATAAAACAGATTTCTAATGACTATTTATCTATGAAGTAAGTTTTTTCTTCTACTGTCAAATTGTTTCTTCTTTAATGAATTAATTAGTTTGGGAAGGAGTCAATACAACTACTAGGCTTGAGCTTGGCTCGACTTAAAACTTGGAGGTTCAAGCTTCATTTTCTGTGCTAAAAGTTGACTTTGAAAAATAATTGAGCTACTTGAACCTGACTTATCATTAACTAAGTAAGGAACTCAAAACTCAACTCAAGCTCTAGACCTTGAGATCGAATTCAAAATTCAAATAAAACTTAAAAATGTATAAATAAATAAATATTTTATTTTATTTATATGTAGAAAATATGTAAAAAATTCCAAAACTCAGTGAGGCTGGTGATCTCTCTTGAGTCAAGTATTTCAAAACTTGAACTTTGCCCAACTATTTAGTGGTGCTGCTCAAGCTCAATTCATTTTAAACAAGTCGAATTTAAGTATTCTTCAAATTGAGCCAAGTAGCTCACAAGCAGCATGACTCATTTACTTTCGTACTAATGGGTGGATGTAATTATATGTGGAGTTGTGATTGTAAATTTCCGAGTTCTAATTTCTCATATATCTGGGTGGTTGCATCAACAGCTTTATTCTTCTTAAAAAACAACTAAATTATTTGCTTCTTTCCATTATTGTTTTGGGTTGGATAAATTGGTGGATGAGATTTGAGTAATACTTTTCTTCTTCTTTTTTTTTTTCTCTTTTTTAAGATATTATTTTCATCCAACTTCGAAACAGGTTTTCCCTTTTATAATTAAAATCTTAGCCCCATTATTTTCTGAGTGTTAAGTTTTTCCTGCATATGGGTTCTTATTCGGCTTGCTCTTTGTTTGTTCCCCTTTTTTTGTGTATAATTCGTTTTTTATTTTTGCCTGTTGAGTTTGAGATGTAGTGAATATTGTGATTCAGAGCTTTTGAAAAAAAAAAAAAAACCATATGTTTGTGCTGGTTTTTCTTTCTAAAATAAGAAATATCACTAGGGTTGACTGCTGATACACATTTAACTTTTTGTTCTTTTTGTTGACTTGCATTTGCAGAAGGTGTCTCAGTTCATGACTCGCGCTGCTCGTCTCAATGAAGCATTTTCAGTTGTAAGGCGCGTCCCCATTATACGGCCTTCACTACCGGCTACTGGGGCGAATCCATGGCCTGTAATGAGTTTGAGATAAAGGCGACGGCTACTGATAAAACATAGACCAAGAAAACCGGGTGTCGACAAGGTAAGCCATAATATTATGTTTGCTTTGCTCTGTTATGCTCTGATGATTGTTTTCGGTTTACTCTTTTCTTTGGGTATGGATTCTGAAATTGTTCAATATGTAAATTTCAGACTGTAAATTGTTTCAGCACCCTTTATATTATATAACCTTAAGCAACAATTTTATATCCAAAATCATGCTATTTGTAATTCATAAGTTACGTTTAGTTGGATAGTCCGATCCCGTCCCCTCTGCCCCTCTTCCTTCCTTACCCATTTTGTTGTATTTTCTCTTTTGCATTTATGACCACTCGCATACGTGCCTTACGAGCATGCAATTGTCTGAAATAAAGAGAGAAAAAACGTAGATACGAGTAGTAAAGTCCGTGTTTTTGACTTACATATGGCCTATAATTGGTAGATTAGGTAATTTTAAATATAACATAAACAAAATAAAAATGCAATACAATTCAATGTTTTTATAAAGATTGTGTTTAACAGAAATAAAAAAAAATTTATATTTTATATGTCAATATATATTATAATATAATAATTTTTGTATTACATATGTTTGATGCGAAAATAAATACATGAGTTTTAGGTCTAATGATAGGTGTTTAAAGGGAGTATATTACTTATAATTATTATAGTTTAATTAATCAATTATAATTTAATATTATATAAAATATATAAAAAAATTATATAGAGTTTTCATTTTTAAATGGTGAATTATTATATAATTTTTTATTATAATTTATTAATTATAATATTTTAATAAAATAATTGTAAATAAAAATTACAAAAAACTCTGGTGTTCTAAGATGGGTTGCCCACCTTGGCCCATAGGTCGGCACTGGGTATTAGTTTAGCTTTTTTTTTCGAGTTTGGCGCAGATTGGCATGACATGATTAGTTAATGAAATAATTTAAAAATATATCTACAAATGGTAAAATATTAAGGTTGTTTTTTGCCATGGACAAAATAATGGTTTAAAAATATATTTATTTCTTTTTTAAAGGATAAAATGTTTCGTTTTTGGGGTTTTGCCTCAAGCTTGGATTTGACTTTAATAAACAAATTACACTTGGCTTTATTCAATAGTAAAAAGATTTTGTTGTAGAGATAAAATTTCAACTATAGTGCCCTGATTTGGGGATTTAAGAAAACGTCTTTTTTTTAATTAATTATGTTAAAAATTAGATATATGTATTTAAAAGTTAGTCATACATAAAAAGACTTAATCAAATCATTTGAAACTTAAATATGTAATATCTAAAAAATAATTTTATGTTTAAATTTATAAAATCATAAAATTTTTATGAAATTTTTAGCTTTATTAATTTTTTCTTTATAAAAAGAAAATATGAGAAAAGTCACAAGATGGAAGAGAGACAGGCGGTCAGATTGGATTGATGCGACGCTAGACCGTCGACCAGAGCGGAGAGGCAACCCATGGAAGGCTGTTGAGTGCTGCTTTTATAGTATTTCTTGGGATTTTTCAAACCTTTAAAAATATAATAATTTAGAATATGATAGGCAGATATGATATAATATAAAAGTAATATGATTTAAAATTTTAATAATAATTATATATAAATTTAATAAATTAAAAAAATATATTTTATAATTTTTATTAAAATAAATTATAATATATATTTTTTATAAAATAAAATATAAATATATGAATTTTAATATTTTATGTGACATGAATAACCAAATGAAAGATTTAAAGATCAATTTCCAAATTAGCTCGTTTGGAACGAGTGCCACTTCCAATTTCTTGTTAATCAATCAACAAAAGGCGGAGCGCTTTTTATATTTCAGTTTTTAAACAAGCTAACACTCAAAAAGATACCACTGGATTTTAACGTCAAAGGCAAATTTGTGGAACAAATTGGAAAATGTAGTTAAAGCATTAATCCTAGACCATACAGACAAGGAGTAACAGCATTACAGAGTTAAGTCCATCTTTTCATAAATAAAGTCCAGTTTCAAAGAAGAGAAGATCCTTTTATTTTTTTGACAGAGGAAGAAAATTTCTTCAAAATTGCAAAAATATATGTTGATGTATATATATATATATATATATATTAAGATGTTAATTGTTAGTGACTGTAGTGAAACAAACCTGCAATCTCATTGAGTTCCAAACAGTCAAGGAGGTCAGCTTTTCGCAAAACAAAAAGATTCAATCTCCAGATCATATTAATTCACAAAGAAAATACTCATGTATGTACCTAATGTACATGAATAAAAGATAAATTTTAAGTAATTAGCAAAAGAGCCAAGTATATTTTTAGCCCTTTCAATGTAAAACACTTGAAAATTAATTTTTCTAAAGGAGAGGTAAAGACGGATAAATGTAGAGATTCTACTTTGGTAGAAATTCTCAGTGTCGCCATCAGTAGCATGACCTATTAGTAAAATATTAATTTTTTATTCAAATGATCATGATTAAGTATTGGTATCAGCAATTATAATTTTTTTTTTCCTGAAAGCAAATAGCTAACCTTTAAACTGGTCATCTGGATAGACAAGGACATCGAAATAAAGCAATCCCCAGGATCAAACTGGAACCCACCAAGATTCAATACGTAGGTAACAACTCTTTTGAGTTTCAAGGCATCGGTGGCACCAAAATTTTGGATACTGTCAACAACAAGAAATGCCTGGGATCAGTATCAACATATATTTGTGAAATCTGCATAAATGCACACATATTTGTGGACAAAACTATAAATGTAAATATTCAAATACTATTGGATGGATCAACAAATCTAATAAAAACTCAATGAGTACAAGTCGAATGTATATTGTAAATTGTAAATCCAAACACTAGAGAAATCAAGATTGAGTTGTTAGAGACGAATAATATAACACCTAATTAAAAAAAAAAGTTATAGACAGATTGCATAAATCTACATGCGAACTTTCATATTTAAGATGTTGATAAGTCAATAACTACATATATAGTACTAGAAGCACATCTTAAGTCAGACTGGAATTGGATTATTGGTTGAATTAGTCGCGAATCATGACAACTAATTTTAAGGGTATCAATTAATAATGTATAATATGTTTTATCTTATTTCTTTCTTTAGACATATTCTTATTAATATATATATATATAATATACTAACAAAAATATGATGAGCTCATAAAATTATAAAAAAAAATTACTATGACAACCGTCTTACTTTTAACAATAATGTAATTTATAATTAATAGTAAAATTACTAATAACATAATCTATCAGTGAATTATGAGAAATTTTTTTATTCTTTTGACAGTTTTGAAATTAAATTAAAAAAAATATGAATAAATCAATCATTAAACATTTTATCAAAGCAAGAAAACTAAATATACTTATAAAAGAATAAAGATGAAATTTTGAGACTAAAAGTTATGTTGTTTTTCAATCCTTTTTTAAAGTTTTAGTGTATACACCCTAGAGCCAGTTGATTGGTTGAAGGACATACATCTAAATTGCCTTAATCACTATATTTTAGTGATTAAAAGGTTTTCTTTCATCAATAAGCAAAAGGATAAAGAGTTATCAAATTGCTAATTGGATGAAGCTCATGAACACAATTGCCTTGCAAAGGAATTGTAAATAGTTACAATTGTGAGATCTTTATGCATCAAAGTTACTTAAATTGTTCCTGGTAAATGTATTGTTTAGACAGGGCATCAACAATGCTTAAAAATAGTATATGTTAACCCTCATTGATTATGAAGTAAGTAATTGGTTTCATAGGTTATAGTAAGGAGAAACTTGGGATAATATGTAGCTACTTGTTAGAGAACAAGTTCATTGAATATGGCCTGCTATGAGAACTCTATTTAGTATCTCACTCAAGTGTATATGGAAATGTTCTCATATGTCAGTCATGTAACTAGTCCTTCAACTTGAAACATTAGTCATTTTGTATATGGATCATTATATTTTGATTTCACCTTTATAGGTTAGGATGTTTGATGGCTAAAAAGTGCGCTTTTGGGTACGGTTTAAAGTATATGAATGTGGATGAGTGGTTAAGAAAGGATCCATCATCCTAAGTGATATGAGAAGACATATCTTATTTATTATTGGCTTTAGTTGACTTATAAAGTCTTTAGTTGGAACTTGACGATGAATTTAGATGAAATAGTTTTAAGTTAAATTCATAAATGTTAACTAGAAGCTACATGAATTAATATGAGAGGTCTTAAAAGTAGGCACTATACCATGCTCAAACCTTTCGAAGTATAAGGTGAAAGGATCGAATTATACTAATAGGCTAAACATTGAAAGGTTTAGTTGGGACTTCATTTAACTCTCCAATATTTAAGTGGTTATGATGTATTGCTAGATGCAACTCATGATCAATGAGTATACGTTGATCGTTATTGATCAGTTTGATATTATATTCATTACCAATATATTGAAAGTCTAATTGGTCACAAACATACGGTGACATTGTAGAATTAATATGAGATTAATAATTAAGTTGGATATCACTGAAAGAAACTAAAATAGAGGAATTAAAGCTTACAGGGACTAAATTGCAAGTACTGTAAAAGTTACATCCTTAAGTGCAAAAGTAAGAATTGAAGAGAATTATAAATAGATATATTTCTAGCTCTAGCCAAATACCTTAAGACACTTGAGAAAAGTCTATTGCAATTGAAAATTACAAAAACACAAGTCCCCATAACCATAATGTAGTCACCCAATCTAGGATTTTATCAAAGAGATGCCAACTTTTCTTGTTCTATAAGAAAAATTGTTTTCTTTCTTTTCCTTCTTGATATCTAAGGCAAACAAATAAGATTTGATTGGTATCTAGTTGAAACACCTACTAACACAAGTTTAGAATATGTTTTTGTAAAGGTTTTGGTAATAGAGGCTGTGTAGATCACTATTAAAGGCTAAATGTTTTGGTGGCTTAAGTCTTGATTTCTTTGTGGTTTTTAAACACAACCAAGGGTTGTTTGAACTCTTGATTATGATATTTTGAGTTCAGGTATGATTCTAAACAAATTTGTGTTTAAAAGTTTAAGTTACATGCATAAACAAAAATATGATCCAATGGTTGTCTCGATTTTGATTGTTTTCCTTATTCCATTGCATTATCCGATACATATGATGTATGATTGAGTTATATATTGATCCATGTCACTTTGACAACAATCCCGATATAAAATAATTCTAATATGATTTTTTTTGTCAGATAAACAATTATAACATGCGACAATGATCTAAATACTACACGCAAATGGACAATTAGCAATGAAAAATTTTGTCATTAACAACATTTTTACCTTTGAAATTTATTATTAGCGATGAAGTTTTCTTTGCTAAAAGTCTACCAAAAAACTCTAAGTCACTTAATACCGTTGGTAAAAACCTATTTTGT